TTGCTTGGAAATAGAGGGTTCCATATTCTTCTGAAGATTTCAGTTCCCCTTGATCCTCTTTGCTCTTGTGTCAACAATGAGTAAGCCGTCTTTGTTGAATAATGACCATCTTTGTCGTGAACCCACTCCCAATCATCAGGCTTTCCTTGTGAAATCTTCATGTCCACTATCATCCTTTGGAGTTGTTTGGCCTCTTCAGCTTCCCAATCGAACAATTTTCTCCTCCATACTAGATTCCACTCCCATGATCCATTTATGTTTTTGCCCATTTGATTGCATGTACTCTCCTTTCCTGTTGATAAAGTATACAATCTAGGGAATTTGTTAGCAAGACACCCCTCTCCCCCCCAATTATCCCACCAGAAGCTTACCCTATTACCCTCCCCTATGCTAATCCTAAAACTTTCGTAAAACTTTCGATCAACCATCCCACCTTTTCCCATCCACTGTATTAAGGCTACACACATCCCTCCACCATATTGAGCTAGTTGCCCTGTGTTCTTTAACCCAATTCTGCCAGTGACCACCTCCTTTACCATACTTCTCAGTAATTATGCTCTTCCACAAACCCTCTTTGTTTTCTGCTAATCTCCCCCACCATTTACCCATCAAAGCCAAGTTAAACTTCCTCAAGTCTCTCATTCCCAGCCCTCCTTCCTCTTTTTTTCTACACACCTTTTCCCAGCTTACCCAATTTATTTTTCTCTCCTCTGCCCCCTCTCCCCATAAAAAACTTTTACGAATTTTATCTATGGAAAGAAGTATACCTTTTGGGATGACGTAGGCTAACATCAAGAATACAGGCAGACTAGATAGCACTGAATTTATGAGCGTGATGCGACCCCCCATAGAAAGATGCCTTCCCTTCCAGCTAGTTAACTTCCTTTTGAAAGAGTCAACCATTAGCTGCCACATTGCTACCCTTTTATTATTTCCACCAATAGGGATTCCCAAGTATTTAAATGGGAACTCCTTTTCTTTACAACAAAGTATGTATGCCATTTCAACTCTCCAGCTTTCCTCTATCCCCCCCCCCATCAATTGGCTCTTCACGAAATTGATCTTCAAACCTGAGATCATTTCAAAAGTCCTCATAATGCCTTTAATCACCTCGATGTTGTTCTCTGATGCTTCCCCAAAGAATATAGTGTCGTCCACAAATTGTAAGTGTGAGACCATCACCTCTCCACAACCTACTGTGACACCCTTGTACAATTTTTTCTCCACTGCAGAGGACACTAGTCCACTCAACCCCTTTGCAACGATCAAGAATAGAAAAGGGGACAATGGGTCACCTTGTCGTATGCCTTTGCTGACCAGGAACTGTTTCGTCGGACTTCCATTTATGAGAACAGAAACCGAGCTT